CCCGCCCCCGCCACCTTTGTCTTCACTCTAGAGGGCCACGAGTTTGTCCTGCCTCACAAAGGATGACCTTTTGATCCAAAAAGGGCATCAGTCCTGGTTCTCTGACTTGGATTACCCTGTTTTCCAGCTTCTCTTTTCCTGGGTAGACTAACCAAGATTCTTGTACTTTTTTGTACCCTTGTAGTAACTTTCAAGAGTCTGTATTTTTCTCAGTGAGTGGTTCTGAAACATTTCCCATCTGTGGGGAGCACGCTGACAGTAAAAGCCGCTCCGATTGCCCGATACAGTATTGCTGTTTTTCCTCGCACACTCAACACCTCCAAAAAACTTCACTTAAATTAATGAAGAATGCTTTTAATGACTTAAAAAGTGGAAGATGTTATCGATTGTTAGGCCCCCAAGTACGTTCTTTGTAAATAATATGTTAAGGTAGGCATGTGGACCATTTGGAAAATTCTCACAGACTAGGCTGTTTTTAAATCACCGTATTTCTGCCAAAAGTGAAAAAGCTTTGTACAGACTCCTGTTTATATAAATGTGGTGATTGCCGAGGATTGATGTCCACGGGGGCCTATTGTGGCCAAAAGGATCTTTTAAAACCCTGCTACAGAAAACTCTGAAGCCTTATTTTCTTCTGGGACCCAACTTTTTCTTTGTGTTTCTTTTCCTGGGACTCTGTTGTATGGATGTTCTGCAGGGGGTGGGGGGTTGGGGGGGGGAGATACACTTGTTTTAACAGTTTGGAAACTTGTAGCCTGTAATTTGTTTCTGAAGGTACAGAGCATGATGGCGGCGGCGTCTGAGGTAGCTGGTGTGGTGTCCAACGCCCCCAATCCTCCAGAATCCTCTTCTAGTTTATGTGCTTCCAAATCAGACGAAGGTCTCCCAGACGGTCTAAGGTAATGTGTGCATACCTGACTGGGAAGGTTGCATTTGGGAGAAGGGCTTCTGAGATGGCTTCTTAGAGAAGCAGAGCTGGGCTTTCCTCTTTTTGGCTCCAGTGGCCCTGCACTAGATTAAGCACATCCATATGTGTATTTAGGGTACCTAACACAGCACCTGGTGGCCCTCGGCAGGCATGCTGAATATTTGTTGAGCAGATAGGTTAGAATACAGGGGATCAGACTTTTCCGAAAATGCAAATTTTTCACCACCCTACTTTACGTGGACTTTATGTTCATTTAATTATGTGTGTGTGATATATATCATACCTATGTGTATATCTACCTCTTATACCTATATGTTTTGTTATAGTTGTATATATTATCATGTTATCATGTATCATACCAGTATATTTGTATATGTTTTCTGTCTTACATAGAGATATAGATATGTACACGTATACATACATAAGGCACGTATATATCCATACACGCACAAATAGACGTATACGTATATCATCTACAGATAAATAGATTGCTTTGTCAGTGTGGCTTACTGCTGTGCGTAGATATTCTGCCTTCCATCTAAACTCTTGAGGGCTGGAGCTATGATTGCAACCTAGCATCTTAGAGCGCTTAACGCATAGTTACGCACGGTGTTGTACTAAATTGTATATTTCACCTCAACTCTAATTTTTTAAGCATACCTAGGACCTAATACAATGGATAATACTGTACTAACAGTTTTATATGTATTAACACAGTTAATCCTCCCAGCAGGAGGTGCTGATATTATTATTCCCACTTACAGGTGAGGAAACTGAGACACAGAGAGGTAACTTGCCCAGGGTCGCCAACAAGGAGTCAGGGTTTGAACCCAGGCCCGTCTGACTCCATAGTACTTAATAAATACTGGTTTACGTGAAGAGAGATTTGTTAGCGAAGGGGTAGTGGGGGCAACTGCTAAGTAAGCCTAACTGTAAACTTGGACCTTCATTTTATAAGTAGAATCAGCCACATACTACTAGGAGTAATACTAGCAGCTGAGGTTTATTGAATATTTACTGTGCCAGGCTCTGTACTCAATACTTTCACACGCATGATTGCCTGCCATCCTCACAATAATCCTATTAGGAGGGTAAGATTTCTGGTTTACAAATGAATTGAAGTAACTTGCCCAGAGTCAAACAACCAGTAAATAGCAGAGTCAGGATTTACACCCAAGATATACTGGACTATATGCCCAAATTAATAACTAAGTGTCTTCCCCCCTCCTCCACTCCCTCAGGTAACTCTCAGGAAGGAATCAGCCAGAAGTGTTTATAAAGGTTTTCATATCCCAAGATCTCTCAGTTTTATTTTGAACAGCCTGTACCTATTGAGAAAGGAAGGCACTGTGACCTAAAGCCTCAGTCGATGCTGGCTTGGGGTACTTACAGGCGTCAGTTGACAGAATCAGTTTTTTAAAAAAGAAGGGGCAAGGAAATTTAGCATAGATGTCATCATTCCTTGGTGAGAGACTTACTGTTCTGAATGTGAGATGTCATCATAAATCCGTTTTAAAGATCTCTTCAAAAAGCAATGCATTAAATGGCCACGACAAACAATAAAACAACTATCCCAGTGTTGTATGCGTGTGTACTTGTCTGGGGTAAAATTTCTACTGACAGCTTCAGTATGGGATTCAAAATTGTCTCTGCCCCAGACAACTTGAAGTGAAGACGCTATGTTCTGGAAAATTCTCGAAGAACCTAAGAAGTGGTTCTAGTCAAAGATCTATATAAGGAATTTGAAAATTGTTTTTGGGACATGTGAGAGTGGAATATTAAGTTAGTATTTTATTTATTAGAACATCACGTGTAACTAAGTTTGTACATGTAACTGAATGAAATAATGACGAGCATTAGGCTGTTTTATCGACGTTCCCTGAAGTTATTCAAATGGGATCTCAAATTTTTGGATCTTCAGAGTCATTTATGTGTGTTTATTGACTATCACTGGACGGTAAAGGTCTGTCTCCACAGCCCAGGTTCTTAACCACCTATCTAACCAGGATGAAAATTGCTGGACAAAGACTAAGTTCCATTTCTTTCTGATGATTTTGGGGGGCTTGTGTAGCCTAGCTTTGTTCTTCTCGTCGTTATGTTAAAGGTATTATGTATTTAATCCTCCTTAAGGTTGGGTGAAGAGAGAAACTTTTTGTCTTATGTCTTTGATAGCCCCAAAGACCCTGCACAGAAGCACAAGAACTCACCTCTGTCGAGTGTAAGTAGCCAAACGATAACCAAGGAGAATAACAGAAATGTCCATTTGGAACACCCAGAGCAGAATCCTGGTTCATCAGCAGGTGACACTTCAGCAGCGCACCGGGCGGTTTTAGGAGAAAACTTGCTAGCCACAGCCCTTTGTCTTTCTGGCGGTGGGTCTCAGTCTGATTTGAAGGACGTGGCCAACACAGCAGGAGAGGAGGGGGACACGTGCCTCCGGGAGAGCCTCCATCCTGTCACTCGGTCTCTTAAGGCAGGGTGCCATACAAAGCAGCTTGCCTCCGGGAGTTGTTCTGAAGACAGATCCCCACAAGCCTCCATCCTAAAGGAAGGTAGCAGGGACACAGGCTTGGATTTCCGACCTGTAGTGCCTCCAGCAAATGGGGTTGAAGGAGTCAGAGTGGATCAGGATGATGATCAGGATAGCGCTTCCCTGAAGCTTTCTCAAAACATTGCTGTACAGGTCAAGTATCAAGTTTCTATTACTAAAATGGAATTTGGGCTCTTTATTTGTTTACATATTTATCGAGGGTAAGAGACATTTCTTCATAGGTGGCGGAGAACTATTCCGTCTCGTTTTTTTATCGGCAGCTATCGTACGATTTTCACACAGTGCCCTGTGAGGACATCCTTCCGGTGTTCAATAAATAATAAAGCCAGGAGCCAGTATCTAATCATGGCAACTAGGAACTTTGTGACCTACATATAATCTCTTCCGCTGATTAATTGATCACAGTAGGTCATTAGCGTTCATATTTCCCATCTTTGTCCTTACAGGAGGAATCCTCGTGAATTCTCTGACCTCCATCTTAAGAACATTGCATCCTGCCTCCTAGTGATTGCTGTCTTTGTTGTAGGAGGAAGGATGGGCACAATAAGTTTAGGGGGCAAAATTCTTATGTCACACTCGAGGCTGTCTGTCAGTTCTTGGGTTTTGTTCAGGTTATTCTGTGGGATGGATGTTCAATGCAGTATAGAGGCCAATGTCTCCTTGCCAGACCTGCGGTTTTCTCGTTAGGAAGCCGATAAGGGGAAAGCAAAAAAGATTAGCTTCTTAGTTACTTGTGGCAGATTTCTAGGTAAAATTACTAAAGAGTAATTCTGCCTTTTAAAATGTCTCTGAGTATTTCTGAATGTGATTCTTTCTTTCTTTATAGACTGACTTTAAGACAGCCGATTCAGAGGTGAACACAGATCAAGATATTGAAAAGAATCTGGTAAGTACTTAAAACAGTCACTGTAAATATATGAGACCATTAACTCAGACTATCTGGAGTCCTATCATCTCAGTTAGAAATGGTACAGGAATCTCCTTTTAAAATCCCTGATGGATGGTTAGCTAACTTCTATTTGATCATTTTCAGAGATGGGATACATTACTCATAAAGCAGCTGATTGTATTATCGTATTTGAGAAATAGCTCTGTTTTGTTGTTGTTTATTTATTTATTTTGAGAGAGAGAGCGAGCGAGCGAGCAGGGGAGGGGCAGAGAAAGAGGGAGAGAGGGGATCTCAAGCTGTCTCTGCGCTGTCAGCACAGAGCCTGATGCGGGGCTTGATCTCACAAACCGTGAAATCATGACCTGAGCTGAAATGGAGGGTCAGACGTTTAAGTGACCGAACCAGCCCCAGCGCTCCTCTGATTGTCAGGGTCTGTTCTGAGGTGAGGACAGACCCTCTAACACTGCTTGTTAGAGTGTTCTCTTGAGCTCTGTAGAGTAAATCCAAACTCCCCTTTGCTCGTTTGCTCTATGTATACTTGAAGTGTTTTTTATGCCTCTTCCCCTCCCCTCTCAAGTCTGAATCTTTCCAGAAAAAACCATCTCCAGACATTTTTAACGTTCTTCTTTTCTTCGTGGGATACATTTTCTAGCCCTTCCGTCACCCTGCTTACTTTTCCACAGGGACATGTTCCATCTTATAAATGCTTTGAAAATGTGATCCCTAAGAGCTAAATGCAATAATCCAAATACAGAAGAAGTAATTCACAGCACAGTGGGATTCTCGTTCTCTTTCGTGCCAGACGCGATTTCTTAAGCTTACCTGTGGCAGTCTCCTCACCTTTTGAGCTTTCCATAAAACATCTGTCAGGTCTTTTTCTGGTGTATTATTGAGTCATATCTTCCCTTTTTATTCCTGGTAATTGGTTTTTTAAAACCTCAAGAGCTGCCCGTGAATCGTTGGGAAAATGGTCTCTTTGAACTATCCCTGGCATTTTGTGGCAAAAACTTCCCTTCCGTACAAGTGTACGGATATCAAAATATGCATTTTTCAAGAGGAAGGGTGAGGCTGGGAAAGGCGCCCTAGCATGGGAAGAGGTCTTAGGGTGATACGTGTTAGCTGAGTGGGGAAGAAAGAGGAAAAGTGCTTGCAGCAACCAACTAGATAAGAAAGTGGATATTTAGTCAAGCTGAAGAAACTGAAGGGCAGATGGAAGGAAGGAAGTTATGGGAGCACATTAACCAGATGAAGCGAGTAGAGTTTTCAGATAGAGAGTAGCAACTTAGGCATTATTCATAAGAGGCGGGTAAGGAGACCCTACAGATGAGCAAGCTGATGGAGGCGTCCTGGGGGAAAACTGAGCTAGAAGAGAGGCTCCAGGGAAAGCGGGTAGAGTTCGCCGTTTCTTGAGCACTTATTCTAAGCACTTTCATCCAGAGTATTTATTTTGTCCCCACTATACAACAGTTCCGATGTCTATAGCAATCCAAGGGACCAGCTAAGTTATACAGAAGCTTTAGCATCAGTCTGAAGCAGGAGCAGAAACCATGAAGCCATTGGGCCATAAGAGGCTGGGAGTTACATTTTGCATGGCTGTGTTCTTTCGGGTGGTGGTGTGGCCCATGTGCTTTTAAAAAGGCAGTGGAGCTAGGCATTAAGGAGGGCACTTGTTGGGATGAACGCTGGGTATTTTATGTAAGTGATGAATCACTGGGTTCTACTCCTGAAGCCAGTACTGCACTGTATGTTAACTAACTTGAATTTAAATAAATACGTTAAAAGAAAAGAAAAGAAAAAAGGCGACCATTATTTTCTCTGGGCCAAAAAGCCTCAAGCTTAGTGGTTGTTCACAATTAAGGAATGATGAAAAATTTATATGCTTTGACCCATTTATCCCACTTATTTGAATTTATTCTCCCCAAATAACTAAAAGTTCAGTAGAAGGCAAGAGCTGTGTAGCCAATGGTATTCATTTTTTTTTGTTTTTGTTTTTAATGGAAACAACCAACCCTTGAAAATGAACTATATGCAACGCGGAAAATAGTTCTGATATAATACTGAATGAATTAAAGCAAATGCAAACCATCTACATGATAACAACAATAACCATGGAAAAATATGCCTGCAAATGGCCTCATACAGATAGTGTCTTCCTGGAAAGAGAGAGGTCACAGCAGGAGACTCTTCTATTGGTAAACATTAAACAAATCAGGAGATCAAAGTGTGGGGAGCTGGAAAGGGGTAGAAGCGGAGGTGCATCTGTTCATTCTGTGTTGTCTACGGAGCGGCCAGTGCAAGTGCTGTCGAGGACCTCCCTCCACCCCCTCACGTTTCCCAGCCTCAGTCACTGGTGTAAACCGTTGTGATATTTGTCATGGCTACCTGTGTTTTTATCCTGTTTATCTTTTTATTGCAAAAAAAAAGTTCTTTCATATTATTTTTGAAAAAGAGAGAGAAAGAGAGTACGAGCAGGGGAGGGGCAGAGAGAGAGGGAGACAGGATCCCAAATGGGCTCTGTGCTGACAGAAGACAGCCCAGCCCGATGGCAGGACTCGAACTTGCCAACTGTGAGATCGTGACCTGAGTGCAAGTCGTATGCTCAACCGACTGAGCCACCCAGGCGCCCCATTATTCTGCTTTCCTTAATGATGTTCTCGGAATTGACTTTAAATGTGATCTCTCTTTTTACCTGGTTGCGTCTTAAGTAATAGTGATGTTGTGTTAGTTACATTTTTAATGCATGTTGAAATTAATATAAAACTATTTTTAAAAGACAGTGGAGCTAGGCAGGTGTTAACCTTGGTGGCAATACAAGAAACTTGGCTCCTGTTTTGTTTCCCTTTTTGTGCATTTATGGTAATGTCCCACTGCCTGCACTTGGAATTGTAACTTCTGATCCTTGGAACCAATTAGCCACCGATGAAGCAAAGTAACTTTGGCCTCTTACAAAGATGATTCGGATCGAGTAGTTTACTATGTACCTTTCAGCTCTCTGGGTGCATAAATAGTATGTACCTTCAGCCTTCTTGCCATGAAACTGGTGGGGTTTTTTGCCATCCTGAGTTGTTCTAAATATGCATTGTGGACAGAGAAGGTACCACAAAGAAATAAAGGGAAAGAGCTGTGGTTAAAAAAGAAAAGATTCCTCTTATCTACCAGTTGCATATTGGTCCTTAACCTTTCTTTAACTTTTCTTGGGTTAAAGTCCTCTTCCAGAATGTAGTTGGTTTTTTTTGTTTATTTGTTTTTGAGAGAGAGGGTGCAGGTGAGTGAGGGGCAGAGAGAGAGTCCCACTAGGGGCAGAGAGAGAAAGAGAGGATCGGGGCTCACCTGAGATGGGGCTTGGGCTCACCCAGTATGGAGCTTGAACTCACAAACATTATGACCTGAGCCAAAGTCAGATGCTTAACGAACGGAGCCACCCAGGTGCCCCCAAAATATTTTGAAGACATTAATTCTCATCTCAGAAAAATGTATCTCCCTCCCCCACCCCAACTTCAGGGAGTTCAGAGATCCCTGAGGCCCAGCCATAGACCTCCGGTTCAGAATCCCTGTAACTGTGTGACAGTGAGGCGTCATCTGAGGAGCCTTAGTCATGTTTCAGCACCTGGACTAAGGACTAGCTCATCACAAAGCTAAAGTTCCATCTTGAGGGCTTATTTTTTATTATCACAATGTGATACGTTTTCCTTCATTCCCTTCTTTTTTTTTAAATTTTTTAAAATGTTTTATTTATTTTTGGGGGAGAGACAGAGTGCAAGTGGGGGAGGGGCAGAGAGAGAGAGAGA